CCCCAAAACCCCAAAACCCCAAAACCCCAAAACCCCTAAAATTCCCGTCTGCATTGATTTTATTCTAACAAAAATAAAATTTAATGGAACCAGTATTTGGTAGACCAAGTTTCCCTTCAGAGAGGCCTCCTACAGTCAAGGAGTTGTTCCAAGAGGAAGAACAAACAGCTGTGAATAGAGACTACACTAAAAATTATCCCAGGACTATCTATGTGTCAAACCCTGAGAACATCCATGTGAAGAACACCATGAGGATCAAGGAATGCATGTCTGCACTACTGAGGAACCAGGAAAGGGAAAAATTGAGACATAAGATTAAAAAGACAGACCAGCATTTTATCAGTGAGAAAGAAGATAATTACAGAAAACATCTTTTTGACCCACATACTCAGTCCTGGCGATTTGATTATGATGAATCATCCCTGGTGAAAAATGATCCTCAAGGTCCTTTCTTGATGAGTAAAGTGCTGACTCATAAGATTAATGGCAGAAGTCCGCCTAGTTATAAAAAGAGTTGCTCTACTGCCTTAACTGACATCCCTAATATTCCAGAATCGGATAGCGTGAAAGCAACTATTTCTTCACAAAGCGGAAAGGGAAGAGAGCATGATTTTGAAGGCATAAACGTTAATTTGAAAGAAACTAAAAATGAGGTTGATGGAGCTCCCAGAAGAACTTTGAAAGAACCTGTAGAGGAGGATGAGACCTTCATCCCTCAAGTAATCTCCAGTAGCTTCATCAAAAAGCGTACCTTTAAAAACCTTGATGAATACATTGAAAGAAGTAGTAAGAAATATTGTTACTAATGTATAGACAATCTTGATAGAAGATATCCAGACAAAGGAGTTATTTTTAACTCAGTCTTGGACTGAGGTAGATTAAATAACGATCCAGAGTATATCAGACCCCTTCATGCCTTCAGAGGTCTTCCTATTTATAAAGCAGATGGGATAGAAAGTGAATTGGACCAATAAATTTTAAGAAGAGCTAAAATTCCTCATAAATCAAGAATAAAAAGCTAATTTTAGAAAAATCTGGAGCATTTTCAATAATTTTTCTGAATTCAGGGGTTTTGGGGTTTTGGGGTTTTGGGGTTTTGGGG